CCCTCTAGGACACATAAGGAAGAGGTATGCTCGGGAGGCGAGCCCAGCCTGTCTCCGCGCTCGCTGGCTTCCTTCCTCTCGCAACCTCTCGCAACCGTGCATGGCGCGGGAGGGGGGAGACGAATCATAAGGATCCCCCGCCATGCTTCCGGAAGAAGGCCAGGGCGATGCGGCGCTGACAGGGTTAACCCTGCAAGCCGCAGCTGCAGAAGACCCCGGGAAGGCGCCGCAGCCCCTCCAGGTAGGGGGGAAGGGGGAGGCGTGCGTGCAATGCAGTGCAATGCAATGCAATGCCTGCGTCTGTCGCTTTGCAGCCCGCGGGGAGGGTGGGAGGCGGCTTCCCAGAGCCGGCGTGCGCGCTCACGCTGTCCCCAAGCAGGGTTGCCTGTCGCGTTGCGAGGCAGGCGGCGTTCCCTTGGGTGCCTCGCTTTCCCCAGGCTCGGCTAGGCTGGCCGGCCGAGGTAGCAGCCCTGGCTTCTTGTGGGGCTTTTGCATTTCCGTTACCTTCTTCTTGTGCCTGGCCTGCAAAATTCATTTGGGGGTTTTCCTGTTGTGTCTTCAGAGTCATAAGAAGAGCCCTGCTGGGTCACACCGGGGCCAACCAGTTCTTCGGGAGGGCCAACAACAGGGCAGGGAGGCCAGGCCTTCATAGGAACATCAGAAGGGCCCTGCTGGGTCAGACCAGTGGTCTGTCTAGTCCAGCCTCCTGTCTCACGCGGGCCAAACAGTTCCTCTGGAGGTCCAACAACAGGGCAGAGAGGCCGAGGCCTTCATAAGAACATCAGAAGAGCCCTGCTGGGTCAGACCAGTGGTCTATCCGGTCCAGCACCCTTTCTCACACAGTGGCCACTCAGTTCTTCTGGTGGTCCAACAACAGGTCAGATAGGCCTTCATAAGAACCTCAGAAGGGCCCTGCTGGATCAGACCAGTGAGAGTCCATCTTGTCCAGCATCCCGTCTCACACTGTGGCCAACCAGTTCCTCTGGAGGTCCAACAACAGGGCATAGAGGGCGAGGTTTTCATAAGAACATCAGAAGAGCCCTGCTGGATCGGACTACTGAGGGTCCATCTAGTCCAGCATCCTGTCTCACGCAGGGGTCAACCAGTTCTTCTGGTGGGCCAACAACAGGGCAGAGAGGCCGAGGCCTTCATAAGAACATCAGAAGAGCCCTGCTGGGTCAGACCAGTGGCCCATCTGGTCCAGCATCCTGTCTCACACAGTGGCCAACCAGTTCCTCTGGAGGGCCAACCACAGGGCATAGAGGCTGAGGCCTTCCCCAGATGTTGCCTCCTAGTTCTTGGATTCTGAGGATTTGTGCCTCTGAATATTCAGGTTCCCCTCAGCCACCTGGAGGAAATGGCTGCATTGGAGGATGGACTCTGTAGCATTATACCCCACTGCTGTCCCTCCTGTCTCCAAACCCCGCCCTCCCCAGGCTCCACCCCCAAAATCTCCAGGAATTTCCCTATTCAGTGTTGGCAACCCTGCTTTGAAGTAGCCTGGTTAGGCTGAGTGTGTGACTGCCCCGAGGTCTCCCAGCAAGCTTCCAAGGCAGAGTGGGGATTCGAACTCGGGTCCTCCAGCTCCTGATCTCACATTCTAACCACTGCCCCGCCCTGGCTCTTAGTATCCTGTTATGTTGCTATTATGGAGCAGTTTCTTATTTATCTAGGACTGTCAGTGTACCCCACCCGATACAGAGTCACATAGGGAGGCCTCTGCCCCCAAAGAAGAAGAATAGAGATTGGATTTACACCCCGCCCTTCACTCAGAGCGGCTGACAAACTCCTTTCCTTTCCCCTCACCACCACAGTCAGTGGGTCTGGGAGAGCTCTTTCCAGGGCTGCTCTTGAGAGAACAGCTCTGAAAGAACTTATGACTGACCCAAGGTCACCCAGCCAGGTGCAAGTGGAGGAGTGGGGAATCAAACCCGGTTCTCCCAGATTAGAGTCCGTGCACTTAACCACGACACCAAACTGGCTTTATAAAGTCAGATCATACTTGGAAGCTCAAGGATTATCTGTGATGCATTCAGCCTCTGCAAGAAGAAGAAGAAGAGATTGGATTTATACCCCGTCCTTCACTACCCAAAGGTGTCTCAGAGCGGCTTACAAACTCCTTTCCCTTCCCCTCCCCACCACAGACCCCCTGTGAGGCAGGCGGGGCTGAGAGAGCTCTTTCCAGAACTGTCCTTGAGAGAACAGCTCTGAAAGAACTTATGACTGACCCAAGGTCACACCAGCAGGTAAAAGTGGAAGAGTGGGGACTCAAACCTGATTCTCCCATATAAGAGTCCACGCTCTCCTAACCACTATTATTTATTTATTTATGTTATTATATTATATTTCTATCCCGCCCTCCCCGTGAACGGGCTCAGGGCGGCTCACAGTTTAGGACAACGTGTGCCAGATATATAAAACATATGCAAACATATAAAACAAGATAAAAACAACCATAGAATACAATTAAAGTGCTCGGTGATGTTAGTCCTTCAATCGAATTTAGATGGCGTACTGTAGATGTAACACAAAGTCCCGATTCAGCGGTGATCGATCTATCACGAGTCTGTGGCTCGATCTCCATATAGGGCCAACCCACTACCCCGTTGTTACTAGCGATAACAGTTGGTGGTAGTGGCAGCTCCTAATTAAAAGCGTGGCGGAAGAGCTCCGTCTTGCTGGCCCTGCGGAACTGTGAGAAGTCCTGCAGGGCCCTGATCTCCTCTGGGAGCTTGTTCCACCAGGTAGGAGCCGCCACTGAAAGGGCCCCAGCCCTGGTTGTGGCGAGCCTGGCCTCCCTGGGGCCTGGAATCACTAGCCGATTTGCGACCCCAACTGTAGTGCTCTCTGGGGTATGTGTGGGGAAAGGCGGTCCCTCACGTATGCTGGGCCCTCAGGGCCGGCCCCAGCTTATTTTGCACCTAGGCAAGGATCCCTTCTGGCGCCCCCCCCCCCGGCCCTGGCGCGACCAATAAATGCATTTTAGGAAGAATGAAAAACACAAATAATCAAGAAACTCCCAGAGTACGGGGCCGGGTGCAGTTTGGCGCCCCCAAGGGCCAGCCCGCTCTATTGCGATCACCTAGTGAGTGAGCCGGCCCTGTGGACCCTGGCCACATAGGGCTTTAAAGGTAAGTACCAGCACCTTGAAGCGGATTTGGTATGCTATTGGCAGCCAGTGCAGTGCCTTCGGCGCCGGCCAGATGTGCTCCCATCTCGGGAGACCCAGCAAAAGCCTGGCCGCGGCATTCTGCACGAGCTGCAGTTTCTGGATTTGCGTCAAGGGCAGCCCCAAACTGGCTCTTGAAGTGGTGCTTCCAAGCTGTATTTGTTTGTTTATTTATTTATCTGCTTTATTAATACCCCACCTTTCTCCACAATGGGGGCCCAAGGTGGCCTACATAATGTACCTCTTCTCCATTTTATCTTCACAACAGCCCTGTGGGGTAGGCTAGGCTGAGATTGCATGAGCGGCCCAAGGTCGCCTTCCGAGCAAGTTTGGTGTTGTGCAGGGGGTGGCCCAGCTGCAGCTCAGGAGCCACACGTGGCGCTTTCACACAGTCTGATTTAATGTTCATAACAAGCAAATTTGCATCTCTTCCAATAAAAACACGTGTGTCGTATTAGTTCATGTCTTGCGGCTCTCAGACAGCTGACATTTATTCTGTGTGGCTGTTACGTTAAGCAAGTTTGGCCACCCCTGGTGTAGTGGTTGGGAGCGTGGACTCTAATCTGGGAGAACCGGGTTTGATTCCCCACTCTGCCACATGCAGCTGCTGGTGTGACCTTGGGTCAGTCACAAGTTCTCTCAGAGCTGTTCTCTCAAGGGCAGTCCTCAAAAGAGCTCCCTCAGCCCCACCTACCTCACAGGGTGTCTGTTGCGGGGAGGGGAAGGGAAAGGAGGTTGTAAGGCGCTCTGAGACTCCTTTGGGTAGTGAAGGGCGGGGTATAAATCCAATCTCCTCCTCCTCTTTTTGTAGGGTGGGGATTCGAACCCGGGCCTCCTGGATCCTAGTCCAACAGTCTAGCCACTGCACGTCCCTGGGCCTCAGCATGCTCTTACGTTGCTACGATAATCAGTTCTTCCCTTGCTGAGGACACTCAATCGGCCCTGTCCTGTACAGAGCAACATAAGCAGGTCTCTGCCCCAGGGTGCTTCCAAGCTCAATCTGACTCTGGAAGAGGGAGACGATTCAATTCAAGAGAGGTGCTGCAGAAGTTGCTCTGGCTTTGCAAACAGCCGCGGGGCGGGGCTGGCAGAGATCCGCTAGCCCCTTCCTTGCTCGGGGTGGTTTTGTACCGGGCTGTATCCTGCAGCGCCTGCCAAAGCCTTTCCCCCGTGCCATGGCCTTTGCCCTCCTTGGACAAGAGCCCCGGCGAAGCGCAGGTGGGAAGACGGGGGCTGTGGGTGTGTTGATTCAAGCTGTACCAAAGTTCACCCACTTGGCAAGCTCTGCTCTCCCCAGGGGAAGGCATGATTGAGGTTTCTTCAATTATGCATGAAGTGGAGAGAGCTGACAAAGCAGTGATTTTCTCCCTCTCCCCAAAGACTAGAACTTAATCCAAATGAAGCTGATGGGCAGTTGGCCTATGGGCACCACGTTGGGGAACCGTGCTCTAGAGGAAGGCTTGAAACCTGCCAGGGCGGAGTACTGGAGCAGCTCAGGCTCTTTTGAATGAATGCACGGAATCCAGCAAGGTTCTCGCTGAGCCAGTTTGGTGTGGTAGTTGGGAGCGCGGACTCTGATCTGGGAGAGCCGGGTTTGATTCCCCACTCCTCTACTTGCAGCTGTTGGGGTGACTTTGGGTCAGTCACAAGTTCTTTCGGAGCTGTTCTCTTCAGAGCAGTCCTCGAGAGAGCGCTGTCAGCCCCACCTACCTCACAGGCAACGCTCCCTCTAAACTGTGGAGTCTTGTGAGCAAAAATTCTGCTTTCTAAGCTACTGGCATTAAAGTTGTGAGCAGGCAATTCGACTACTGCATACATCAGTTTGCTCTGGAGCCATCCTTCCTGAGTTAAGACAAAAATGTGTGAGCCGGGGGCTAAAAAACTGTGAGGTAGCTCACACTAACTCAGCTAAGAGGGAACACTGCTCACAGGGTGTCTGTTGTGGGGGGAGGGAAAGGAGATTGTAAGCCACTCAGACTCCTTTGGGTAGTGAACGGCGGGGTATAAATCTCTAATCTGGGAGAACTGGGTTTGATTCCCCACTCCTCCACTTACACCTGGCTGGATGACCTTGGGCAAGTCATAACTCTGGCACAGCTGTTCTTGAAAAAGAGCAGTTTCTGTCAAGAGTTCTCTCACCTACCTCCCAGGGTGTCTGTTGTGGGGAGGGGAAGGGAAAGGAGTTTGTCAGCCGCTCTGAGACACCTTTGGGTAGTGAAGGGCAGGGTATAAATCCAATCTCTCCTCTCTCTCTCTCCTCTTCCTCTCCTTCTCCTTCATCTCCCAAAGGAATCTCAGAGCGGTTTACAATCTCCTTCCTCTCCCCACAACAGACACCCTGTGAGCAGTGCTCCCTCTAATCTGTGGAGTCTTGTGACCAAAAATTCTAATTTGTGAGCTACTGGCATTAAGGTTGTGAGTGAGTGAATTGGCTACTGCATAAGTTCCTTTGCTCTGGAGCCATCCTTCCTGAGCTAAGAAAAAAACCTGTGAGCCTGAGGCTAAGGAAATGGCAACCCACTCCAGTATTTTTGCCAAGAAAACCCCATGGATGAGATGGTTAGACAGTGTCATAGATGCAACGAACATGAAGTTGAGCAAACTTCAGAGGACGGCGGAAGACCAGAAGGCCTGGCGTGATCTGGTCCACGGGGTCGCGAAGAGTTGGACTCGACTGTGCGACTGAACAACAAAAAAGCTCACACTAACTCAGCTTAGAAAGAACACTGCCTGTGAGTTAGCTGGGGCTGAGAGAACTGGTCCTGAGAGAACAGCTCTGAGAGAACTTGTGACTGACCCAAGGTCACACCAGCAGCTGCATGTAGAGGAATGGGGGAATCAAACCCGGTTCTCCCAGATTAGAGCTTGCGCTCCTAACCACTACACCAAACTGGGTCTCTATTAGAGACTGCTTCTTGGGGCGGGGAGGTTCAGAGCTCTCCTCGATCTCTCCTTTCCAGGGAAGGTCTCCTTTGCCGCTGCACCGGAAGGTCTGCTATGCCATCGGGGGTGCCCCGTACCAGCTCACGGGCAACGCGCTTGGGTTTTTCCTCCAGATCTTCCTGCTTGACGTCGTGCAGGTGAGCCGATATCGAGGAAGGGCACAGACTGCCAGCTGACCTCTTTGTGCATGTTCTGAATGGGTGGAGTGTCCCAGCCATCGGCCTCTTTCCAAAAAAATCCCCTGCTCTGAGCCAGGCATTTGTCTCAATGCAGCTGGAACCTTTCCACGCATCTCTGATCCTCTTCCTGGGGCGAGCCTGGGATGCAGTGACGGACCCGGCTGTGGGATTCCTGGTCAGCAGAAGCCCTCGCAGGAGATGCGGCAAACTGATCCCCTGGTGAGTCAGGAAGCAAGAGGCTCTGCGATTGGAATCCGGAGGTCTGTGAGTGGCAATCTGGTAGGCAGCTGAGCCATTTTTCCTGAGCTGAGACAAAAAGGTGTGAGCCGGAGGCTAAGGAACCTGTGAGCTAGCTCTCACTGACTCAGCTTAGAGGGAACACTGGCAGGAAGTCTTGGCGGCTACAAGCATAGACAGCTTCAAGAGGGAATCGGATGAACATCTGGAGCAGAGGTCCGTCAGTGGCTCTAAGCCACAAGGTATGGATGGAACGCTCTGTCTGGGGCAAGGGATGCTCTGTCTTCTTGGGTGCTTTATATGAGGCAATGATGCTCTGTATTCTTGGTGCCTGGGGAGGGGCAACAGTGGGAGGGCTTCTGGAAGTTCTGGCCCCACTTGTGGACCTCCTGATGACACCTGGGTTTTGGCCCCTGTGTGACACAGAGTGTTGGACTTGGTGGGCCATTGGCCTGATCCAACATGGCTTCTCTTATGTTCTTATGTCTGGAGCAAGTGATGCTCTGTATTCTTGGTGCTTGGGGGGGGGACAGTGGAAGGGCTTCTGGTGTCCTGGCCCCACTGCTGGACCTCCTGATGGCACCTGGTATTTTTGGCCACTGTGTGACAGAGTGTTGGACTGGGTGGGCCACTGGCCTGACCCAACATTGGCTCCTCTTCTGTTCTTCTGTTCTAAGCTGGCTCTGCCAGGCTCCACCCTCAAATCTCCAGGTATTTCTGAACTTGGAGCAGGCAAAACGACTGGTAGCTTCAAGAGGGGGAGGGGGAAGAGCTGGCTACAACCTAGGCTTGCCAACTCTGGCTTGGGAAATTCCTGGAGATTTGGGGTAGGGCCTGGGGAGGACGGAATTTGTGGGGAGGGGATGGACAATCAGTGGGGTCTAATGCCCTAGAGCGCCCCCTTCCCCAGCAGCCATTTCCTCCAAGAGAACTGGTCTCCGATTCCTCCGATTCCTGGAGATGGCTTGTAATTCTGGGAGATCTCCACCTGGAAGTTCGTAACCAACGCCCCCTCTAAGCTGTGGAGCCTTGTGAGCAAAAATTCTACTTTGTGAGCTGCTGGCATCATGGCTTTTTATGGCTTATGGGACTTCTGAAACGTCCACTCCATGATGAATTGCATGTCAAATTGGACTTTGATATTGCAACCCTGTTACGGAGCTGCGGTGGCTCAAGTGGTTAAGACGCTGAACTGCAGGCTGGGGAAGGTCGGTCGTTCAGCAGTTCGAGACCCGGGTGCTGCATGACGGAGTGAGCTCCCGTCTCCAGTTCCAGCTCCTGCCAACCTAGCAGTTCGAAAGCAAGAAATTGCAAGTAGATAAAAAGGTACCACTTCGGTGGGAAGGTAACAGCGTCCCGTGTGCCTTGGTGTTTAGTCATGCCGGCCACGTGACCACGGGAAACGTCTTCGGACAGCGCTGGCTCTTCAGCTTTGAAACGGAGATGAGCACCGCAACCCTAGAGTCGGACTCGAACTGGCTTTCGAGCAAGGGAACCTTTACCTTTACCTATTCCAACCCTACTGGAGTGAGACACAGTAAAATAATTGGGACTTTATTGTTCTTTCCATTTATTCTTCTTTCTGTATCTTGGTTACACCTTGGCCGATATTGTTATATAATTATATTTTTGCATTATTGAATTATTATTACACATTTCATATATTGGTTATCTCTGTTCAGTGGGTTTTGTGCTTTGTTCCTATCCTTGTACACTGGCTCCCCGTCTTTTTTGGTTCCTCTCAGTTCACTCTATGGCATTATTTCTCTGCTGAGATCCCCCAAAACCCCGCCCTCCCCAGACTCCACCCCTAAAATCTCCAGTTATTTCCCAACTCAGAGTTGGCAGCCCCGTTTCCCTTATCTCTGCAACACACACACAACGGTCAAGACTATTTTTAAAATGGGGGTGTCAAACATGCGGCCCGGGGGCCAAATCGGGCCCCTCCTCTGGAGGGCTCCTTTCAGCCCACAGCGGAACTGGCTGCCTTCTGCTGCTTCTTCCAGTTGTGCGGCTGCTGCATCATCGTAGGTTTGCAGCTTACAGATACACACCTGAACAGCACACTCAAGATTGCAACAGCACAGACATTTCGATGCAATAAATTCAGAGCAAGAGGTGTCAGTGATCACTGTTAAATAAACAAAATAGTGCAATATTGCTAATGTTTTAAGCATGGTTTTAGTTTAAGTTTTAAAAAACCGCTTTGGGTTTGTGTCCTTTATAAAGTTTATATCTCCTCTACCTGGCATTACATGTTATGACCAGTGTTCCCTCTAAGCTGAGTTAGTGTGAGCTAGCTCACAATTTTTTAGCCTCTGGCTCACACATTTTTGTCTTCGCTCAGGAAGGATGGCTTCAGAGCAAACTAATTTATGCAGCAGCCAAACCTCCTGCTCACAACATTAATGCCAGTAGCTCACAAAGTAGAATTTTTGCTCACAGGGCTCCATAGCTTAGAGGGAACATGGGTTATGACACACATGGCCTGGCCCAACAAGGTCTCATTTATGTCAGATCTGGTCGTCATAACAAGTGAGTTCGACACCCCTAGTTTAGAAGCTTCTGAAGACTTGACTCTTGCAGCCACCTTCCCTGTAGCTTAAGATCCTGAATCCGGATCTGTCACCAGCGGTCAGACCTGCGGTTCTGTTTATTCTTGTTCTCCCTGCCAGGGGAAGTTTCACCGGTTGGACTTCTGCCTTCCACACAACTGTTAAAGGCCCAAGAGCACATCCGGAAAACAGAGCTGGCGATCTTGAGCATTGGTCCTGGTCTCAGTTGCAATGAGTTCCTTGTTGCAATTGAACCTCCACGTTCAGAAACAGCGTACCTCTGAATACTACAGGCTGTAGATAAGCGATAGGGGAACAGGCTCGATGCCCTTGCTGTGACTGCCCGTATGCCTCTGGCTGTTTTGTGTCAGAAACAGGCTGCCGGTTTGGATGGGCCCTGTCAGAACCCTGGCAAAATCAATTCCCAATAACAGTCATTCAGAAGAATATAAAGTTTATTGAGACATTGATAGGATCCAGGCTCTAAACGTTTCTGTGTTAGAACTGGGGGAAAGCGCACAAAGCCAGCAATTATACCTAAGTCAAGCAGGACTCTAATAGCCCAGGGCCAATCAAACCTAAGCTAGAGGCCCACTGAAACTAACAGCCCATAGTTCCCAGGGAAAGATTATTCCAATGCTGACTGGGGCTCAAGGTTATTTGTCTGGGCCTCATGAGATAACTAGAAGCAACAGCTAGGTGCCCAAAAGTGAAAGCAGACATTCTTCACACTCAGGGCTTTTTTGTAGAGAAAGCCCAGAAGGAACTCATTAGCTTAATAGGCTACACCCAACCACAGAAACTCATTAGCCTATTAGGCCACACCCCTGACAGCACAGTTCATTAACATATTAGGCCACACCCCATGTTACCAGAAGTGTGGTCATCCAGCCACACCCACCTTTTGCTTCTTATTCTGTTTACTTTGTTCTCAAAACCCTGGGCTTTTTTTTGTAGCAGGAACTTCTTTGCATGTTAGGCCACACACCCCTAATGTAGCCAATCCTAATGAGTTTGTGCTGTTGGGTGTGGCCTATTATGCTAATGAGTTCCTGCTGGGTGTGGCCAACTCAGGAGCCAGCCGGAACTCCGTTCCTGTGCGTCCTGCCCAAAAGTAGCCCTGTCTCACGCTCCCCAACATTCCCATGGCAACCAAGTACCGAGAAGGCAGGTGAGGTTGACTGGCCCTTTGGTCTGATCCAGCAGGGCACTTCTCACGTTCTGATCTTCTCCTTGCAGGATCGTCGCTTCCACACCTTTTGGTGTCTTCTTCTACTTCTTGCTATGGTTTGTCCCTTCCGATTCCTTCTCTGTGTCCCTGAGGTTCCTTTGGTACTTGGTGACGTACTGTTTCTTCCAGACCTGCATGAGCGTAAGGATTTGTCGAGGGGGCCATTCCATTCATGGCTTCTGATTTTGGGCTGTGTTGGGTGGCGGTCACCCGGACGAGGGGTGCCAGCTCTGGGTTGGGAAATACCTGGAGATTTGGGGGGTGGAGCCGGGGGAGGGCGGGGTTTGGGGAGGGGAGGGGCCTCAGCGTGCTCATCTCTGTTTCAAAGCCGAAGAGCCAGCGCTGTCCGAAGACGTTTCCGTGGTCACGTGGCTGGCGTGACTAGATGCCGCGGCGCACGGAACGCTGTTACCTTCTCACCGAAGTGGTACCTATTTATCTACTTGCAATTTCTTGCTTTCGAACTGCTAGGTTGGTAGGAGCTGGAACTAGAGACGGGAGCTCACTCCGTCTCAAACTGCCGAACTACTGACTTTCCACAGCCTGCAGTTCAGCGTCTTAACCACTTGAGCCACCGCAGCCCCTAGGAGCACCTTAAAGACTAACAAAATTTGCGGCAGGGCATGAGCTTCCGTGAGCCACTGGCTCATGTCTTCAGATATCTGAAGAAGACAGATCAAGATGTAGATAGATCAAGATGCAGATATATAGATCAAGTGTAGATTAAGATAGGGAGTTGTGTTAGTGAGAGCCAGTTTGGTGTAGTGGCTAAGTGCGCGGACTCTAATCTGGAAGAACGAGATTTGATTCCCCACTCCTCCACTCGCAGCTGCTGGATGACCTTGGGCAAGCCATAGTTCTGTCAGAGCTGTTCTTGAAAAAGAGCCGTTTCTGTCAGAGCTCTCTCAGCCCCGCCGACCTTACAGGGTGTCTGTTGTGGGGAGGGGAAGAGAAAGGAGTTTGTGAGCCGCTCTGAGACTCCTCTGGGTCGTGAAGGGTGGGGTATAAATCCAATCTCTTCTCTTCTACTGCTTCTTAGCCTGTAGCCGTATAAAGGCAGCAGTAGAAAAAAGCAAGAATCCAGGAGCACCTTAGGTAAAGGTAAAGGGTCTCTTGCTCGAAAGCCAGTTGAATCCGACTCTAGGGTTGCGGTGCTCATCTCTGTTTCAAAGCCGAAGAGCCAGCGCTGTCCGAAGACGTTTCCGTGGTCATGTGGCCAGCATGACTAAACACCAAGGCGCACGGAACGCTGTTCCCTTCCCACTGAAGTGGTACCTATTTGTCTACTTGCAATTTCTTGCTTTTGAACTGCTAGGTTGGCAGGAGCTGGAACTAGAGATGGGAGCTCACTCCGTCATGCGGCACCCGGGTCTCGAACTGCTGAACGACCGACCTTCCACAGCCTGCAGTTCAGCGTCTTAACCACTTGAGCCACCGCAGCTCCTCAGGAGCACCTTAAAGACTAACAAAATTTGCGGCACGGCCTGAGCTTCTGCGAGTCCCTTCTCACTTCTTCATATATCCGAAGACAGATAGATCAAGATGTAGCTATATAGATCAAGTGTGGATCGAGATAGGTAGCCGTGTTAGTCTGTAGCCGTATAGAGGCAGCAGTAGAAAAGAGCAAGAGCCCCGGAGCACCTTAAAGACTAACCCAATTTGTGGCAGGGGAGGAACTTTTGTGCATCACTGCTCACTTCTTCAGATAACTCACCAGGGGAAGAGTTATAATGCCAGGAGATCTCCCGGCCCCACCTGGAGGTTGGCAACCCTACTCCAGATAAGGACTTTGCACTCTCGGAAGTGCTACTGACATGCTGAGTGTTGCTCTACGGAAACAACTTTGGGGAGGGGGTTGCAAAGAAATGGATGGGGAACCTTGCACGGATCTACCCTCTTGAAGACTGAAGAGGCATTTTCGGGCAATGCTAGTCTGACAGGGCCTTCTTCTCCCTCGCCCCTTTTCCTAGTGCTACCACGTGCCGTATTCCTCGCTGACTATGTTCCTGGGAGGGAACCAGAGAGAACGGGACTCCGCCACTGCCTACAGTAAGTCTCTTTGCACGCCGTTTCCTTTGTCCCCTGCCCAGACAAGTCTTAAGACGCAGCTTTTGCGTGCAAATATGCACATCAGCCCGATTATCCTCACAATACTGTCTTGCACCAGCACAGTGTGATGTAGTTGTCGGAGCAATGGAGTAAAGGTAAAGGTTCCCTCGCTCGAAAGCCAGTCGAGTCCGACTCTAGGGTTGTGGTGCCCATCTCCGTTTCCAAGCCGAAGAGCCAGCGCTGTCTGAAGACATTTCCGTGGCCGGCATGACTAAATGCCAAGGCGCACGGAACGCTGTTACCTTCCCACCGAAGTGGTACCTATTTATCTACTTGCAATTTCTTGCTTTAGGGCCATGAAAATTCAGATCCCTGGAAGTCTGCTGGGTGACTTTCTTTCAGCCTGGCCTGCCTCACAGGGTTGTTGTGAGGATGGACTCAAGCAGAGAGAACAATGCCTACCAATTAAATCTGGGAGGAGCCGTGGTTCAGTGGCAGAGCCTATGCTTTGCATGCAGGAGGTTTCAGGCTCAATTCCCAACATCTATTTATTTATTTATTTAACTTTTTACCCACCCACCCCGCCAAGGCGGGCTCAGGGCAGCTTACATAAAACCAATAAAACAATATACATCTCAGTGTAAAAATCCATAATAAACAATTTAAAACAGTTGATATACCGATGGCAGTGCGATATAATAAAGTGCATTTAAGAACACATTCAGCGGTGCTACCACTCTAGGTAACTTCTAGCTCTAGGTCGACACAGGGCATGGCGGATAAGGTGCAGCTTCTATTGGAATGCCTGCTGGAAAAGCTCCGTTTTCACGGCCCTGCGGAACTGCAGTTAAAAATACCAGGCACCTGGTGATGTGAAACATCTCTGTTTGAGACCCAGAAGAAGAAGAAGAAGAGGAGGAGGAGGAGGAGGAGATTGAATTTATGCCCCACCCTTCACTACCCAAAGGTGTCTCAGAGCGGCTGACAAACTCCTTTCCCTTCCCCTCCCCACAACAGACACCCTGTGAGGCAGGCGGGGCTGAGAGAGCTCTGACAGAAACTGCTCTTTTTTCAAGAACAGCTCTGACAGAACTATGGCTTGCCCAAGGTCATCCAGCCAGGTGCAAGTGGAGGAGGAGTGGGGAATCAAACCGGGTTCTCCCAGGTTAGACTCCGCGCACTCAACCACCACACCAAACTGGCTCTCACACCAAACCGGCTCTCACACCAAACTAGGAGAGTCCCTGCCCGTCTGAGTGGAGAATACTGATGTTGATGGACCAGGGGCCTGATTCAGTTTAAGGCAACTTAGTGTGTTCAATATCTGCCTCTCAAGTTCTGCTTGCTGTGCCTTCAGAGGCAAACTGGGTGGCGTTACAGTGTTCCCTCTAAGCTGAGTCAGTGTGAGCTAGCTCACAATTTTTTAGCCTCCAGCTCACACATTTCTGCCTTAGCTCAGGAAGGATGGCTCCAGCGCGAACTAATTTATGCGGTAGCCAAATGACTCACTCATTACTTTCATGCCAGTCGCTCACAAAGCAGAAGTTTTGCTCACAAGAGTCCACAGCTTAGAGGGAACATTAGTGGTAACTAGAGACAGGGCACTCTCTGTGGTGGCACAACGCCTTTGGAATGTCCTCCCCCTTGAGGCTTGCCCAGCACCTACATTACTTTCTTTTAAGCACCAGGCTACGACGTGTCTTTTTTACCCAGACTTTTAATTGGTGATGCTGTCTTATCAGCTTTTGAATGCTCTTCTGTTTTGGGGATCATTTTTAGGATGCTTGTGTCCAATAGCTTCTGTTTTAATACTGTAGCTGTTCACTGTAAACTGCCATGAACGGTGCTCCCTCGAAGCTGTGGAGTCTTGTGAGCAAATATCCTACTTTGTGAGCTCCTGGCATTAAAGTCGTGAGCGAGCCATTTGGCCGCTGCATCAATCAGTCTGCTCCGGAGCCCTCCTTCCTGAGCTAAGGGAAAAATGTGTGAGCTGGGGGCTAAAAAACCTGTGAGTTAGCTCACACTAACTCAGCTTAGAGGGAACACTGGCCATGACCAGGACTCATTTTTTAAAAATAATTTTAATAACCTTATTATAAAACAAATCATTACAGAAGATGACCAGGACTAAAGGGGGACATAATATAGAGGTTTATAAAAGTATGCAAGGAGTGGACGAAGTTGACAAAGAGAACTTTTTCTCCCTCTCCCCAAACATTAGGACTCGAGGGCGTCCAGTGAAGCTGATGGGCAGTAGGTTCAGGATGGACAAAAGGAAATACTTCTTGACACAGTAGAAAAGAGCAAGAGTCCAGTAGCACCTTAAAGACTAAGAAAATATGTGGCACGGGAGGAGCGATTAAAATGTGGAATTTGCTCCCAGAGGATGTAGTGATGGCCACAGGAATGAACAGCTTTAAAGGGAAATTAGAGGAGAGGTCTCTCAATGGCTACTAGCCCTGGTGACTGAGGGGAAACTCCACATTCAGAGGCGCTAATCCTCTGAATCCCAGAGCCAGGAGGCAACATCAGGGGAAGGCCTCGGCCTCTATGCCCTGTTATTGTCCCTCTGCAGTAACTGATGGGCCGCCGTGTGAGACAGGATGCTGGACTAGATGGACCACTGGTCTGACCCAGCAGGGCTCTTCTGATGTTCTTAAGAAGGCCTCGGCCTCTCTGCCCTGTTGTTGGCCCTGCAGAGGAAATGGTTGGCCACCGTGTGAGACAGGATGCTGGACTAGATGGACCACTGGTCTGACCCAGCAGGGCTCTTCTGATGTTCTTAAGAAGGCCTCGGCCTCTCTGCCCTGTTGTTGGCCCTGCAGAGGAAATGGTTGGCCACCGTGTGAGACAGGATGCTGGACTAGATGGACCACTGGTCTGACCCAGCAGGGCTCTTCTGATGTTCTTAAGAAGGCCTCGGCCTCTCTGCCCTGTTGTTGGCCCTGCAGAGGAAATGGTTGGCCACCGTGTGAGACAGGATGCTGGACTAGATGGACCACTGGTCTGACCCAGCAGGGCTCTTCTGATGTTCTTAAGAAGGCCTCGGCCTCTCTGCCCTGTTGTTGGCCCTGCAGAGGAAATGGTTGGCCACCGTGTGAGACAGGATGCTGGACTAGATGGACCACTGGTCTGACCCAGCAGGGCTCTTCTGATGTTCTTAAGAAGGCCTCGGCCTCTCTGCCCTGTTGTTGGCCCTGCAGAGGAAATGGTTGGCCACCGTGTGAGACAGGATGCTGGACTAGATGGACCACTGGTCTGACCCAGCAGGGCTCTTCTGATGTTCTTAAGAAGGCCTCGGCCTCTCTGCCCTGTTGTTGTCCCTGCAGAGGAAATGGTTGGCCACCGTGTGAGACAGGATGCTGGACTAGATGGACCACCGGTCTGATCCAGCAGGGCTCTTCTGATGTTCTTATGAAGGCCTCGGCCTCTCTGCCCTGTTGTTGGCCCTGCAGAGGAACTGGTTGGCCCCTGTGTGAGGCAGGATACTGGACTAGATGGACCCTCACTGGTCTGACCCAGCAGGGCTCTTCTGATGTTCTTATGAAGACCTCAGTCTCTATGCCCTGTTGTTGGCCCTCAAGAGGAACTGCTTGACTCTTGTGTGAGGCAGGATGCCGGACTAGATGGACCACCGGTCTGATCCAGCAGGGCTCTTGTGATGTTCTATAATAAATAAATATTATGACTCTGAAGAGGCAGGACAGAAATGTTGTAAATACATAAAGAAAGAAATGTATGCTACTTCGAAGCTTCTTGGAGGAAGTGTGGGGTATGAATTAAATCACTTTGCAGCCAGCATAACTCCCCCCACCCCCCCGTCTTGTCATAATAGCACAGTTACAGAATAACAATCACTATAAACAGCTTTGCCTTGGGCAGGCTGCAGAGTGCAAACCAAAGTTGTATTAGCAGGGGTCATTTCGTAGAAAAAGAGGTGCAGGAGCTCATTAGCATAACTTATTTGCATATGCCATACCCCCTGACATCACCAGAAGTGTGTCAGAAGGCAACACCCACCGCTCAGGCTCCACTGGACTGTTTTGGATTGCTAGCTATTGGGGG